TGTGTGTGTGTGTGTGTGTGTGTGTGTGTGTGTGTGTGTGTGTGTGTGTGTGTTTATGTTGTAAGGGCTACTGCTCTTTGGTGGACCATGAGGTCTAAATTGACAGACCACATGGTTACTGCAGAAGCTCCCTTTTTAATTCCATCACTTGTGGGACAATGTCAGAATGTTTACTGCAAAAAGGAAAAATGATTGTGTCATTCACATAATAATAAACTATACAGCTAATGTATTTGTGTATGCCTCTGTGATCTAAATGAAATAATTTCAGATTTGAAAATAATAAAATTGCTTTGAATCTGTCGTGATTTGCAGATTATCTTTCTGTATCATGAACACATTAAGGATAAATAGGCAAATTAACATATTAATGACAAGTAATAGTAATGCCCATGTGATGAAATATTARTAATTTTCCTGCAAAGGAAGCACTTGGCATTAAATCCAGCATGCCTTTATTAAACCATTCTCCATTTATTTCAACTTTCACTTACCTACTTAAAGAAACAGTTATTGGTGTATCACAATAACATGCTTTATTGCCTTTTCATATCTTCTGTACCATTATGTAAGTGCATATTATTCAATTGAATCTAGTTTATAAATCCAAAAGCAGATCAGTCACTGAATCTAAACACTAACTTCCAATGGAGATGCCAGTTAATCTAGTCTTTCTCTGTTTGACACTAAATCCTTAATTATTTTTTTACTATTGCAACATTTTAACTTTTAACTAAAAAATTCAAAATAAAACAAAATAAACAGAAAAAAAAGACAAACAAAAAACTAAACCTTGATGTTAAAACTCTGCAGATTAGGAATTCATAAGTCTGTTACATTAAAATATTTTGACTTTTTCCCTTCAAATGTACAATTTTCTCCTTACTCAGTTAAATCATAACGTATTTGATAGCGAGCAATGATTCATTTACCCAATGGACGTGCAACGGGTCTCTGCTTTCATTTCAAAGTCAATCAGCTCATATACAGTAGGCTAAAAGTCTAATGTTTCAAATAGCAGTCCACAAACTGAGTAACAACACAGTGTCCATGTGCACATTTACATGACTTACACATTTACATAACAGCAATAGCAAATCCAAGTAAAAAGAAAATCAATCAACCAGCTGCTACCTGCTACACCATATGAGAAAGGAATCAATTTATTAGCTGTATTTACAAAGAAAATCAATCATTTTAGTTATTTTGAGAATTACTGTCAGAATTTGTTCTAATCCTTTTGATCTTTTCAACACTCAGCCCCATCTACAAAAATGCTACAGCAAAACGCTTCCATTTTCTTCAGGTCTGGTCATGTCATAAAGCTTTTTTTCTTTCCACGTCTACCTCTTAAATCTCGTCCAGCATTACATTTCTTTTTAAACCTCAAGCTGTCATTCACATGTTCTCACTGTCAATCATCATGATATAGAGCATGTCAAAGCGGAGAAAACTTCTTTGGGTCTGCTTTGTTTGATGCTCAAATTTGCTGATCTGTGAACAATCAGAATGTACGGGCTCTTTCCACAGAGACAAGCCAATTACCTTCTTTAACAGTGCCTGTCATTTGTCCTACAGTGAATCAGGCTCTAAAGTAGGCACCTCTCCTCTCAAGTCTGACCTGCAGGGGTCTGGCATCAGGCAAGGTCACCCCTGTACACACTCTGATGTGGTATCATCTGGGATGAAGGGAAGCATGAGAAGCACTTTGAACTTTTTCCCATCATCGAACAGCCCTCACAACTGATCTGGACAATGTGCTGGCGTTCACTATCGGGGTATGTTTTCTGTTATCGAGCATTGCATCAGTGCTGGATGACCCTTAGACAAGACTTTACTTTAGTGATATAATGAGCATCTAAAACAGTGCAAGGCCATATAAATAAAAAAATAGCACAGTGGCAGAAAAAGACAGAAATCATTCTGTTGTGTCTTTATTGAATCCAGATCTTCAAATCACTTTTCCTTCATGTTCCAAACTATTGTATTTCCTAAAAAGATTCTAAAACGCAATGGACAGGCCTCTTTGTGAGTAATATGTTTCCAATCCAGTGTTTTCAATTGGACCACCTTTTTGAAACCACAKTTTGATGAAATTGTGGTTGAATTATTAAGGAGAGGAAGAAAAATAGTACTGTAACATCTCTAAAACACTGTTCTGCGCTGCACAGGATTGCCCACGAAGGCATTGCTGAGAACAGTAAACACCATTTTTCAATCAGGCCTGGAACTGTCCTCAGCATTGTTCTGCCTCTGTGAAGACAAGCTTGTTTTTTGAGTTTTATTTGTACTGATGAGCATATGGGACGAGTATGTGCCTCTCTCTGCTGGCTAACCTCTAATACTTAGCCCAAGGAAGCTGTGATTTGTCAGTACCATAAAGCAGATTGCTGCCCAGTGGTTCCAATTAACATCAAAGAAAGCTATGCAGCCAGTAATAGCTATAGCAAAAGTTGAAATGTATTATTAGGTTGTGTGCTAAAGTCACCCACACAATTATGTTCTTGTTCAGACGACTGTTTTCTTATTATCACTGACTTATTCCATTCTGCACACCACTGTTATGTGTTTGAAGCAACCCGCTGCAATCCTGCACAGTCTGTGGCAACAGGTTAACCTGTAGTACTTAGTGACTCGACAATTTCAGGGCATAAAAACGTGGATCCACAATAAGGATGAAGGAGGCTGATATTTTWAYAATTCTTTTAAGCAGCTGTTARGCTCCAGTAAAAGTAACCAATTTACTGATTGCCCAGTGAGTTGAATTAATGTCGAATGCAGGCATTTATGCTTCTGCTCATGTGTTTGTGTGTGTGCGGGCGGGTATTCCTTACTATGTGGGGACAGTTTTTGGYATACACCCTTACTTGTGCCRACCAATATGGGAAATGCTCTTGGTGGGTCAGGGGTTTGTTTTAGGACTAAGGTGTGAATTRAGTTTAGGTAAGATTTAGGGTCAGGTATGTAGGCTACCTGTGAGGTTAGGTTTTGGGTAAAGGATCAGGGTTAGGCTGTGGAAATTAATGGAAGTCAATGCAATGTCCYTATGAAGCTAGGTGTACTAGACTTTGTGTATGCTTGTWTTTGTTATMTTTTCCAGTAGACACACYTRCCTTGTAAAAGACCAGTAGWCCTTAAGGCTGGCCCTAATRTGGTGGAGCTCAATTTTKGGGTTGGGGKTTAGGTTTAGGGCTAAGGTGTRAATTGAGGCATGGTTAGGTTTAGAGGTCAGGCCATAAGTTAATAAAATGAAAGTCAATGAATGGTCATAATAAAGATGGGAATACAAACTTGTGTGTACGTGTTCGTACAGTATCTGTCTATTACCAAAATATCTCATGAACCACTGCACAAATTTTACAGAAACTTGCAGAAAGTGGTGTACATCTACAACTAAGCGCCTTCTGGAGTCAGTCTTATTCAAGATGGCCTGCCACATGAAATGACTATAATTAAGTCAATTGTGCAGAAAGACTTGTTGTAGTTGCTCGGAGCCATTCTCTTCTCAAMATTTGAYGATTTTAGTCTAGCATTTTTACATGAAACATAACTTTTGCAACTTTGAGTCCAGTGTCCTGAGTTTGAGTTTTGAGAGTAGCATCTGCTTCTCTMAAATCAGGCCAACAGAACTTATTCCATAACTGCAAAAATATAGAGCCTAAAATAAGATGATTTCAGCCACAATAAAAGCAGTGCTGGGACCCAATTAAAACTTCTGCAACCTCATTGCCTGGTCTCAAAGCACACAGAGGAGCTTGTAAAATGGTTGAAGAAGTGCATATACCATTCATCACATGTTGATTAAGCTTTAATAAATGATCAYAT